TTTCATCAACATATACTGTGTTTTTGTCGCTTGAATGAATTTTATTATTTCTTCAAGGTTCTTCACATACATACACCTTAAGAGATAACAAGTAGGCATAACATGTTCTCAAAAATTAGGATTAGCACGCAGAAGAATTTTGAGTCAGAGATTTTGCTGGTTTTGGCACACACTCACAAAAAGGTTGCCCACCCCTGGCCTAGGTATACCTACCAACTCTACCATGGTAACAACGAGACAGCATACATCGCTTTTGTAATATAGCATCCTTCAGATACTTGGTGGCTTTTCAGATAATGGATACCCTTGATGGCCTGGGCAGTTTCATCAGTGTCCTTAAAGTGAACACGAAGATTTGCATCTCTTGATTTGCGTGATTTTGTGGGGTGTTCTGGGTCAAATGAATACTGAACCATTTTCCTGGGTCACCTCTGGCTACTTTCTGGAAGAGCTGAAAGCTTCTTATCATGGCATATATGACTCTTCATAATCCAGCCTCAGCTTTTCCAACTGCTCTCCTTATCACCCCAGCATGAGACTCAGGCAATATTGTGCTTCTGTGGCTCCTCAAACATTCCATTCTGTTTCATAATCCAGTGCTTTAGCCTAAACTGTTTCCTACACCTTAAATGTCTTTTCCCCTTTGTTCATCAAATAAACTTTTACCACTTCCTAATTATTATGCATGGAAATGTTAAGAATTAATTACTTGTTCATTAGCAACGAGGCAGGCAAATCATCTGAATGATGGTGAGTTTATTAGATGGATAGTCCATCTGTAAAAGTGAAATAATGCAAGAGATGACAGGTAAGAAACTATTTGCTTCAGCTCTCACGATCTGAACATAATCCAGAAATTTTCCTTTCATTACTACCAAAATGCAAAAAGTACTGACAGAGGAGGATTTATCTGAAGGAAATTTATCCTCTACCCATTTGCTCCTAGGCTTAAAGGAATAGAAACCTCGCCTTGCTGGTGTTCCTCAGTGGTTGAGCGTCAACCTATGAATCAGGAGGTTGCAATTAGATTCCTGTCAGAGCACATGCCTGGGACTGCGGGCTTTATCCCAGGGGTGGGCAAACTTTTTAACTCGAGGGCCACAATGGGTTCTTAAACTGGACCGGAGGGCCGGAACAAAAGCATGGATGGAGTGTTTGTGTGAACTAATATAAATTCAAAGTAAACATCATTACATAAAAGGGTATGGTCTCTCTTTTTTTTTTAGTTGTATTCATTTCAAACGGGCCGTAGTTTGCCCATGGCTGCTCTATCCCCAGTAGGGGGTATGCAGAAGGCAGCCGATCGATGATTCTCTCTCATCATTGACGTTTGTATCTCTCTCTCCCTCTTCCTTCCTCTCTGAAATCAATAAAAAAAAATTTTGAAAAAAAGAATAGAAACCTCTCTTCTCACATATTAAGCCAGATGAAAAGGCTGTGCCAGGCTGACCCCTGCTGGAGTCAAGAAACCACTCTACTCCAAGAATGTGGGTACAAAATTTTCTCCCTTCATGCTACTCATTCATTATTTATTCACTCAAAAACAGTGAACACTCATCTGTACTACTGGGAATACTGGGGCCCTGGGGCACAGAGAACAAAGGACTTAATTCCTAGTCTTAAGAATCCACAATCTAATGCATGAGCTAGGTAGCTGCCTCTTTAAATGTTCTCTCGACAGCAGGAGAATGAGAGACGAGTTAGAAGGCCAATGCAGAACTCCAGGGATTCAATGACAGTCAGTCATGTGAGAGGGGGACAAAGGTCTCGGACTTCCAGGTTTCTAACTTGGGAAACTGGCTGGTCATAGGTGGTAGTTCCCGGAGTCAGGGAATCTAGGAAGTTTATGCAGGAAGACAAAATGAGCTTTAGACATGTTAAAATTGAGGTGATGCCCTGGCTGGTGTGGCTCAGTTGGTTGGAGCATTGTCCTGTATACCAGAAGGATACAGGGTTTTGTTTTGTTTTAATATATATTTTATTGATTTTCCACAGAGAGGAAGGGAGAGGGATAGAGAGCTAGAAACATCGATGAGAGAGAACCATCGACCAGCCACCTCCTGCACACCCCCCACTGGGGATGTGCCTGCAACCAAGGCACATGCCCTTGACCGGAATCGAACCCGGAACCCTTCAGTCCCAAGGCCGACTCTCTATCCACTGAGCCAAACCGGCGAGGGCAGGATGCAGGTTTGATTCTGGGTCAGGACACATACGTAGGTTGTGGGTTTGATCCCCAGGCTGGGTAGGTATGGAAAGGCAGTCAATTGTTCTCTCTCACCTCAATGTTTTCCTCTCTCTCTCTCTCTCTCTCCCTTCCTCGCTCTCTAAAATCAATATGCATAATGATAAAATCAATAAGATTGGGGTGAAAAAAGATTGAGGTGACTGGGGGACATCCAGGTAGAAATGTCCAATAGGCTGTTGGGTATATAGATCTGGCTGGACTCAGGAAAGTATAGGGCAGAGTTCTTGACAGCCCTCCCATACTTGACAGGGGGCTCCACCAGAATAGATGATACTCAAGAGTATGTATGTTGCGGGAGACCAGCTGAGATCTTCAGCAGGCTGGGGTTCCTTCACTTGCTTAACTACTTTTGCTTTAAAGCTATCGCTACGACTTCTGGGAAGTCTCTCCCCAACACTCCCTCATATACAAGGAACCAGATGCTTCTCCTTTGCTTACTGAGCATCCTATAATCACTTCAATCATGGCACTTAGTGCATCCTATTGCCCCTGCCAAAATTCTCATCTAGCCACTAGAGCAGTGGTTCTCAACCTTCCTAATGCCGCGACCCTTTAATACAGTTCTTCATGTTGTGGTGACCCCCAATTTCATTGTTACAAATTGAACATGATTAAAGCATAGTGATTAATCACAAAAACAATATGTCATTATATATATGTTTTCCGATGGTCTTAGGCGACCCCTGTGAAAGGGTCGTTTGACCCCCAAAGGGGTCGCGACCCACAGGTTGAGAACTGCTGCACTAGACTGTAGACCAAGCATGGCTAACATGCTAAGGCTAACACGGGCCAAATAAACGAGGCATGCAGCCCGAAGGCCGTGAGTTTGACAGGCTTTCTGTAGACCTTTGAAAGAGGGACTGAGTTTTGTGAGTAAAAAAAAATGAATGTAGGCAGCAGTAATACCATATGGTCATAATAGCCTTATGACCATGGCATTTGCAAGGGAGTTTGATGCAGGCACATTAAAAGATTTAAGTAGGGGAGTGGTATGATCAAATTTGTGATTTAGAAATATCACTCTGGCCCTGGCTGGTTTGGCTCAGTGGATAGAGAGCATCGGCCTGAAGGGTCCCGGGTTCGATTTTGGTCAGGGGTACATGCCTGGGTTGAGGACTCAATCCCCAGTAGGGGGCGTGCAGGAGGCAGCCAATCAATGATTCTCTGTCACCACTAATGTTTCTCTCTCTCCTCCCTTTCTCTTTCTGATATCAATAAAACATTGAAAAAATATCACTCTGACTGCAGTGTGGACACTGCATTAAAGCAGACGGAAAGCCCCACGCTGGCTGGTGTGACTCAGCGGGACTCCGCAATACCCCATCAAGGGCACGGGCCTGGGGTGCAGGCCGAGAGGCAACCAATCCATGTGTTTCTCTCTCTCCCCTCCCTGCTTCCCTTTCACTCTCTAAAAAAATCAATGGAAAAAATATCCTCGGGTGAGGATTAACAAAAACAAACAAAATAGTGGCTTCTGGTTAAGTTGGGGAAAAATATTGAGTCAAACCCTCCATTCCCAACTCTGAAAATACAAAACCAACATTTGCGGTATTTATGTGTTTAATATTAATTAAAACAACTGCCGCGTACCCATGGGCTGCTGCCTGTCAAGCTGTATTCTAAGCTGCTCTCTCATTTAATTTTTCCGCAGGTCTGTTAGCCAGATGCTTTGCTGTTGTTGCACAGCACAGTGAGGTTAATGCCTCCCCTTTGGGGGGGGAGGTTAAACCATCCACTTTGGGGGAGACTCCAACATCGGTCTGGCCTGTGGGCTCGGAAAGGCTTTGGTCCCAGGTCTCGGTGGTTTAGGTACCAAAGGGCACATAAGGTTGGCCCAACTGCTCTGGGCTGCGCAGGAGGGTGCGGGGAGGCGGGATCGGGGAGGCGGG